CTTTAATAAAGATACCCAACATGTTGCATCATCAACTAACATTAATAGATGTTGAATATTCTTATATCCTTCATAGGATACTGGACCTATTATATCCATATGAATTATATCACCATAATTAGCACTTATTTCTAAAGATCTTGTTTTTGGTTGTGCCATCTGTTCAATGTTTGCTTTTATACAATCAACACATTGTTTTTCATTGAAGTTTATTATCTTTTGGGATAATATCATTGTATCACTTTGTAATAAACATTTAATATAATCATAACTGATATGACTAAGATGTTTATGTAAATTGTAAACACTAATTCCACTCATGGAATTCATATAATGAGTGTTTCTTAATGCATATAGGTTATTTTCGAGTTTGATTGTTCCTATTTCACATTGCTCATAATAAATAATGCATTCTGATTACTTGAACAAGAATGTGAAACTGTTGTTGCATAATAATGCTTGACTTATAAGTGAAAAGTTTAAATCCAAATGATAATAAACATTGTTCAACATTATTTTATTTATTACAGGAATGTGTGTATCTCCTGAATTTCCCTTTTTAATCTCTATGCACATATCTCTAGCCTTTGTAAGAGTTACTGTTAATTTGTTTGCAAGTGTAACTGTTACTAGGGATATGTTTTGTACGTCTGTGAGGCGAAAATAATACAGTGTAGCATGTATTGTAGCACCAGAATTGATTATATCAATTGTATTAGGGATAAATTTATTTATTAATGTGTTATTATTGTCCAAAATATTATTATTATGTACCCAATTCACAAATGGGTTGTTTTTGTTCACATTCACAATAGTGTTCACCTGCTCAGAGGGTAGTAACTGTGTCATTTCAACATCTGGTACCTCTTTGATAAATGCATTCATGTGTATCATAGATGCTACCAGTACAGGCTTTGCTTCCTTTGCTTCTACTGTATTTGCTGAATGATTAACCTTTTTGGCTCAGGCATCTAGTATTGATTGGGACAATAATGTGCAGCAATCATGTGTGTAGTGCCCTGGGTTGCCACAATTATAGTATTTTGATACTAGAGTCAGTTTGCTTGTATTTTTGTTGATTCTGTTTGTTCCTTGCTTTTTATTTTTCGTCTGAAATGTATTAGCCTGTACTTGTATATTAGGCTGCTTATTTGAATACTGTGTAGGGTTTTTAATACAATAATTGTTAAATGCTTGGTGTAGTACTGTGATCAGTCTCTACAGCTTTATAGGATGGTGCTTGGATTCAGGCTTCCCTTCATGAAACATGTCTCAAGCTTGTTCTATGGCCTTTAGAGTACCTTTGTATTTGGCAGGTGTAGCAGCATAAATTACTGTGCAATAGGTAGTGTCTGTAGGTTTATTATTGTCTACTATTAGCTGTACATATATCTGCTCTAGCCTATCAAGTGTCTGTCTGAAGTTTTTAACATGATTACTACACTTAAATAATGAAAACTCATCATATACTTTGTGCATAACTGTAGCAGGATTGAAGCATTCTTCTAATCCACTCATAAGAGTTGTAATAGACGTTCTAGTGTACATAAAGTTAGCCATAATGTGATCTGCTACTTTATTAATAATTGCCACATATATGGTATGAGCAACCTTGATGTCCTCAGGCTTTGGCTCATTAGTGAATAAGTATGTATAGCCAATTGCTATGATAGCAGAGTGAATACAGTACTTCCACATCTTATATCTGGCTGTGTCCTTCAACTGTACAATGTTGTGCCTGAAGTGTTTGAGAACATTAGTGGGTTTAATGTGAATCAAGTTCATCCTATTTGTCTGCTGTACAGGTGTAGATGGGTTTGTCTCTGTTGTGTTCAATGCATACATATTGCAGGTACTTGGAGAGTCCATTGTAGATGCATAGTATCAATACAAAGAAGCATAGTGTAGTCTTGTAGTAGTATGAGGTTTTAAGCAGAGAGTGTAAGGCTCATAACCTGTTAGAATGCATATTCTTAGGTTATCACACAAGTAATAAGGGCATTGACCCTGATAATGATATGTATTTAGTTAATAAAGTGTTCTTTTTATATTGTTTGTCTGTCTGTATGTCTCAGTTATCTGGAATATGTTTTTTTATCTGATACATGTCTTGTATTGTGTATCTAATACATGCATCCAACACATGTATCTGTTCCACTCTTATTAGTATTATCAGTTTACTAATGCTATATTGTCTGTAAGACATGTTAACAGTACTCTTAGTAGTACTACCACCTGTTAGCTACTTGGCCTACTTAAGACACCTTGAGAAACCCTCCTTACAGTAGGCTCCAAAATGTTAATCTTAAGTACTAGTTAAGGTAGAAGAGGTCAGTTGAGTCTGTAAGATACAGACACTAAGAGGGGTTAAGAGTAAGAAGGAATAGGTAGATCTAAGCAGAACATACAAGTTTCAAAGGTAATAATTAACAAGACAAGAGTAGTATAGAACAATAAAGCTACACTTTAGAACAAGGCAAGACAAGACAAGACAAGGTAAGAGGGAATGTTTACTAATGAGACTGTCAAACTACACACTAAGAGTTGTAGTAGAGAGTAACTTGATTGTTAGAAAGTATGAATTACATAAGGGTATTTATAGAAATTATGAGTCCTTTGTAGCTACTAGTCCTTTGTGAACAAATCTACTACTGTCTCCTTTGTATCAACCCATCCAGGACTCTAGATCTGAGTCCCCTTTGTATTAATCAACCAACTGTCCAAAGGCTTAGAGTCTTGCCTTTGTGAATCAGAACTATAGTCTGGAACCCAACTAGTCTGAATTGAGCAACTAAGGCTATTGTGTAGGTGATGATAATGTAATTAAAGGATTGCTAATGTGAGGATGATACAATTTTAATACAACTGAGCCCTTCTGATTAGAACATAACAGAATGTATGTATTGTGTGAGTGTGACAATAGTACAGATAATCAAACTTTCAATTAAGACAGACAACCAGATCTTCTTATATTTCCTTAATTTAGTTGGAAATCCCTCATCTTTCTGTATTCTTAGTAGTATCCTACTATAGTTACTAATGTCTAGTTCTAAACCTAGCAGACTCAGTCTAGATACAGGACTGGACCTAAGGACCAGTCCTCTACAGTCTGGTCCTTATAGGTCTAAGAGGAGTCTGGTCCTACATCTATCAAATTGAGAAATTTCCTAGACTAATAGACTAGTTTAGACTTAGACTAGACTCTAGACTTGAATGTTTTGTATAATTGTTTATAGTACAGAATTATTTGTAGTACATATTCTGACATCCATTTTACTTTTCAGTCTCTTTAATTACAACTTTGATTTCCTTCTTGTCTAACATTTCTCTAGTACTAGGAGTAGTATTATAAACTTGCAAACCTTTAACAGAGAAGCTATACCTGTTCTGAACAATTGTAAGGATTTTGTATGTTGTAATCTTTGTTTGTACAATGTATTCAGAGCTGGGAGTTGTAAAAACTGGTAGTAAACAAGTACATTTAATATACAAAGCTAGATCAGGCCTAAGTATACATTTAAATATTTCCTCTAGATTACTATCCTTTAAGATATATAAACACATATATATATACATTACTTGTAAATGTAGGGAGGGGCATTATGTATGTTAAGAGTAGTCTTTAATACTAGACTGTTGTCTTCTCTAAGAACACATTTACAGAACCAGGAAGTAAGAGATACTAGCTTGTGTTCTTGACTTTACACTGAATGCTAAGTCTACAGAATGTAGGAAACTAAGTACATTTATATTACTTGTACATTACTCTTAGTATGTACTTTTTTTCTTCATTTATTACAATATAAAGTTGAGTGTTTTCTAGGATAACTCTTTACACTATCTAATCCTTACTTACATTACTCAGGACTACTTACTCATTCAGGGCTTGTCTGTTCCTTGTAAGTGTGTTTTTTCTGGTACAGGACTTGTTAATACTAAAAGGCAAAACTACTTACTGTCTGAAACATTTGAATCTATAAAAATCTTAAAGACTTATTATAAAAGGCTTCATAATTAGTTATATTATCTATGTACTTAGATACCAAAAATAATGTACTAATGCCTCTCAAATTGTTCTCTCAAGTCCAGTCATAGACAGTCTGAAACCAGACTAGAACTTGGGTCCAGTCTAGTAACTGTCCACATAGGTCTAGTCTACAGTCTGGGACACTCCTAGACTACAATTTTGGTCCAGTCCTGAGTCCAGGTAAAGTACACCTGGACTGGACCAGGACCAGACTTTAGCAACTATAATCCTACTAATCAACTTGAAAGAGGCAGGCAAGTTGGGAGTGAACAAAGGGACAAATTACAGAACAAGGACTGTTAGTAACATTGATTTTACTAAAAGTATGCTTTCCTTCTCTTGCTTGCCTTACAAATCAGCTTGAATTCTACAGGCACTCTGGAAGCAGCCTCAAACATAGTGCTCTGTACTATAGTATAATTTACAGATATGCCTATAGTATATACACTTACACACTGTATTATAAGAGAAAATTTTAACTGAAAATACAAGCATATATTTACACATGTATGTGTATACCATAAGTAAAAAATTTCTGTATACACTATATACAAGTATACAGTATTACTAAGCATATTCTCTAATTAAATACTAAGTTTGAGTTTCTAAACCTCATTTACTTTACTTATTTATATACTAAATCATTTTAATACTATATAACAACCTTGTTTAACTTAAAAAGTACTAGTATGAGTACTACAGTTAGTATGGTTACTATGGTACATCACATGAAGGTTTAGAGCTGTCATGTGATATTAACTCACAACACTCAACTGTCTTATTTCTGTGTGTAAACAGTACTATAATACATTTTCTTAGCTTAGTAATATCAAGCATTTGTTTTGAAAGATGATAGTGTACTTTTATAAGCTATTTTAATGTAAAGTATCTTGTTATATTTGGCACAGTGTATACACTGTATATGCTGTATACAGAAGTAGTGTATTGTATATGGGTCCTGCTGACCCAGTTTATGCCTGTAATTATACACCCGTATGCGTATACGTGGGAAATTTTACACACGTATGCGTATACGCTACGCGCGGAGCACTACGAGTCGAACGATGAAGCCACCTCTGCTAGTGTTCGAAGATTAGCGTTTGTCATTTCTGCCTCAGTGTGGCTGACCAGAGTATTATCGTTTGCTCGGTTATTCTGCAAAGGTCGTTGCTCGTACTATTTATTTTTGCCTGCTGTATCCGAATGCCTTGCTGTTTATATGTTTATTCGTACTGGGACTACCTGTGCCCGGTGCATTATACCCTTTGCTTATTGATTTTCGCCACATATGTGTTGCCAACCTTTATTATTTAATTACGGATTTGATGTGGTCCCTAGCCAGCATACTTGTTGTAATAAAACACGTAGATTTGACCGGGTGCCATATCTCATTGGACAGAATTAGAAGCACGTCCTCGCTAGAGTCGCTACTGCAGTGAATAAAGACCCGAATTTTCCCGAAGAACTCGAGAGCACGGGATCTGGGGAAGGACAGTGGACACTGTTGGGTCATCCCGGATCGCCTCCGAGTTCAATACTCAATACAATTGAGCAAAATCACACGATGCGTGCTGTCTCTGCTCCAAGACGATGCAAGAAATGCGTTTCTCCGCTTCTACCACACCCAGTTCTGCCAGCACACGCCGGACAGATAACAGGAAGATACCTGCTGTTCCCCGAGGGACTTAGAACGAGTCTTCACCGAGGCACGAGAATGTGGTGAGGCAATTGAGCGGAAGCAAGCGGTGGATGATTTCATCGCGCGGAGAAAGGAATGAAAGATCCCGATTCCCGAGAGACGGAACGCGCGGGATTCACATGTCAGTCCGCCTTAGCCCTCCTGGGCTCCGTCTCCTTTGACCCAGGCCGTAGCCTATCCTATGATAATTGTAATGGGCCATACATTTCTCCGACGTAGCTTTACGCGTTTGGCGTACAGCCGATTCGTCGGTTCGTATATATGTGGAGTGCGGAAGCGCTAGGCTGACACCTCGTAATTATTTCCTCTTCTCCCTCCTTTGCTTTCCTCTTTTACGTCTGACGTTTTGGGACTTGCTTCTCCCTTTCTTTCCTCTTTGTAGTCTATTCCTGCACTTCATCTGCATTTTAAGAATACCCGACGCGACGCACACAGGTCTACCCAACCTCCAACATACCAACAAGCTGGAGGTTTCATCAACGCACAAACAGGCAGGAGGAAGCAAGTAGGAGTAATTGTCCGTCATGTCGAAGAACGAAAAGAAACGAGTTGGGTTCGCAACCCATATCACGGCGGGTGGTATTGCAGGTGCTATGGAGGCGGTGAGTCGTCCACACCCTTGAAGTTGTGAAGCAACTCTAAGAAACATGTCTTCTTAGCTTGTATGCCAGCCTCTTGATACCATAAAGGTCCGAATGCAACTGTCGAAATCTGGGCTTACACCTGGGGTACGTACTTTCTCATACTACGGTGCTCGGATGGAACATGGTATTTAGAGTGAGGCTGGAATGATCGCGAATGTTGGTTGTTCAGGACTGTCTTGACTGATGGAAACCCTTCAGCTTCAGTCGTTTCGCCGATTGTCATTTTGAGAATAACTCGACTGCAAGCGATGTCTCACTTCAAAACTGTAGCAGACCTCAGACGCCTTCGTCCATTTCTAAAGCCGTGTTTCCTGCCAGCCTCCCAAGCTCCACAATACTTAATCTGACCACTTAAAATCCAGACGAAACCACGAGGATTCCTCGCAACCGGTGCACAAATTGTACAACGCGAAACGCCCCTTGCACTCTACAAAGGTCTCGGTGCCGTCCTCTCTGGAATCGTCCCCAAAATGTCTATTCGTTTCGCCTCCTTTGAAGCATACAAACGTTGGCTCGCCGATCCTACCACAGGGAAGACTCCCACTTCATCCATCTTCCTCGCCGGTCTCGGCGCCGGCACAACAGAAGCCGTCGCAGTCGTCTGTCCCATGGAAGTCGTCAAAATCCGTCTGCAGGCTCAATCCCACTCCCTCGCTGACCCGCTCGAAATACCACGATACAGAAACGCGGGACACGCGGTGTATACAATCGTGCGGGAGGAAGGAATAAGGACGTTGTATCGCGGAGTTACGTTAACCGCTTTACGACAAGCAACGAACCAAGCATCCAACTTCACAGCCTACCAAGAACTCAAAAAACTCGCACATTCATACCAACCCACGCTCACCGAGCTTCCATCCTATCAAACCATGTTTATCGGTCTCATCTCCGGTGCGATGGGACCCTTTTCCAACGCACCCATTGATACTATCAAGACGAGACTGCAGAAAGCGAGTTACCCGCCTGGAACAAGTGCGGCGAGTAAGATTATGCAGATTGCTGGGGAGATGTGGAGGAGGGAAGGTGCGAGGGCGTTTTATAAGGGGATTACGCCGAGAGTGTTGAGGGTTGCGCCTGGACAGGCGGTTGTGTTCCCTGTTTATGAGAAAGTGAGGATGGTGATTGAGAAGATGCAGACGGGTGATATGGGAGATACGTATTCGGAGTGACTGTGTGCGGGTGGGGGGCGATTGTAATAGGAGGGGTTTGCTTGATAGATAGACTGTTATTTTCCATTTTGGACGCGTGCATTTATAGCATTTATTTTGTACGGATATGTTCCTTTTGATAATCCGATCTTCCACGTTCCTCGCCGACGGTATATTTATAGCTTCTACTGTCATTTCATTATCAATTTATCACTGTCTAGCACTAGTAGCAGTGTGTCTGCAGTTCTGAGTCACGTGGTGCGCGTCAGTTGGCTCGACGCCAACACCTTTCACTGTTTCAGGTTTTAGCATTGTCTCAAGCACGGGAAATTTAGCACGCGATTATTGTACGTCAATGCGCAGCTAGGCAGTTAGTTATCGCGGCCAAGACACTTTACCTACAACCATCATGGCGCTTTTCAGAGACTACCTACGAGATCATGCTAAATTCTACTGTCCACCCGTCGACAGTCACCAGACGGAATCCAGTGCCTTGAGGGATGTTGAAGTTGAGCAAGCGTTGGCTCTCTGGGATGCGCATCGTGCAGTGGTAGAAGCTCGCCGTGATACGCAGATGGTTGATGCACTTATCGATGTCCTTGATGAAGAGCTTGGTGAGGATTCTGCACCAAAGAATATCAACGGATGGCTCGAGCAAAAATATGACGAGGACATGCAGAGGACTCGTGTAATAAGGACAGAATCAGACGTATGCACTATCTCTTCTTATGAAGCCACCTTTCCACATCTTTCTTTTTTAGGTCAGAAGCTGCGTAGATCGAGGACCTCTTAATGTTTTCGAGCTTATTATGATATCTCTCGATAACCCCGTCGAGGTTGGAAATGTAACAGATATCGGATCTAAGTTAGACTATGTGCTGTCCACAGCGGAGGGCAAGAAGGCTTTAGTCAAACTGAAGGCTCCAAGTATCATCGATTTGGCCGCAGAAGAACTTTCTGAACTGTCCAATGATGAAGTCGGGTTCAACGTACCGTTGGATTCACAATCACTCGAAACAGGAATGAAAGTCATTGCCAAGGTCTGTCTGTGTAGCTAATGGACATCGAGGACTTTCTTATCGAGTCAGATCCCTTAGGCTTGTGTACACATGATCTTGTACAGAGCAGAGTGGCTCGCATTGACGTGCTTCACAAAATGGGTGTTCCTTCGACTCCACAGTCGTGGTACAGGGGAAGCGCCATACATCACATATTCGACTATTGAAAGGCAATTAGACAATACCAGACCGTTCTGTGCTTTGCTTGGGATGATGCTGGCTTATTCAAGGGATATCAGTGTCCCATCCAACGCCGACATGAACGGGCAGCTTCGGCCAGTTCCAGTGACAAAGGCGGAGCCACGAGTCAATCACTACAGTAGAAAACGCGGTAGCTCACCATCTTCGTCCTCTGGTTACCTAGTAATTTTTTTCTAAGTCGTTACCTTCACTAACTAAAACATTTTTAGATCACGTGGTCACCAAAAGCCATGCCGAATAAGAGATGGCTCGAATTTCATGCTGTGGACACTGATCCATTTCCGGCTTTGGGCAAAGACACTATTCGGCTATGTGTCCACCGCAACATTGGGCATGGATCAACTGGGGTTGTCTTTGAGGCGATTCCTGAAGGTGACGAACATAACGGAGCCATAGAACGGAGGAGTTACGCGATTAAAACGGTTGGGAAAGGCGAAACACTCGAAGAGCAGAGTTGTGCTCAGCGTCTTTTCAACGAGCTTGAGATATATCGCCACATTGAACAGACATCTCCAGCGTCTGTGAAGATTGTACCGCAGTGCTATGGACTTTTTGAAATAAACCGAACACGGGCATTAGTCATGGGTTATGAAGGGAATGTGCTCAGGCACGATGGGGAGTGGTCGGAGCTATCACTTGCTGATAGGTGAGAATAGAATCACCACTCTGTGCAGCCTCAATTTTATTGAACAACGTTAAAGGAAGGAGCTGTTCAATGTGATATCGACTCTACACGGACTTGGAGTCTATCATGATGTCTTGGAGCCTCGGAATGTTGCCCGAGTCGGCGACAGGTCGTTCAGAATTATTGACTTTACTTCGAGCAAGCTACATGATTGCCACCCTGAGGTCAGGCTTTCACCATTGAATCGTTTTTTATCCTATTTGACTCAATCTGAATGTTTAACAGACTTGTGCAGAGTTGGATCATATTAAAACCCTATTCGGATTGCAGCAACGGTTAGTAGCTCTTAGAGCTTGTTCTTCATTCGTCTCGCCTTGTTAGCTCAAATGAAATACTTTCCTCCCTGTCCTTTAAAATAATTTGACTCTCCATATCGATGATACTAATGTTACGATTTTATTTAAAAAAACTCATTCCAGGGATGGACAATCGCCTGATCGACCAGACTCCAGCGTTATCCACCACAGGGGGAACTTCCGACCCATGGCCCTCAACTCTTCTCGAGAACTCTTGCATCTTGCCCTCTTTTGTATAGACAACCTGCTCTTCGCGCGACGCCCCGGGCTCATCCAAAATCGTCCTATTTTCAAACGGCATTGCGGTCAATCGAGCCTCTTCCGACGCCTCACTCAACTTCTTCGATAATTAAGTCAAGTCAGTCTACTCAGCGTTTCCTATATATAAAGACAAATTGAAAATTAACTTCTGACGTACCCAAGGTAAAGGTCCCCACTCTATACTATAAAACGCAACATGAATATAAAGCATTGCATCCATTGCCTTACTCACAGTAGGCGGTGCCTCTCCAACAGTAGGGGGACCTGGTGGAGGGTGAGTTTTAAGGTTAACAGCAATGATATAGAAGAGAGATCTCATTCCGAAGGCGAGATTGCGAGAGAGGGTTTTCGACCGAGGGATTCGACGAGGTAGAAGACGAAGAGGGCTGTTGCGACTACTTTTACGATACCGTAGGTGCCGGATGCGAGGAGGGAGTTTTTTGCGCCTTCGTAGCCGATCTTGATTGAGAGAGCCGTTTTGTGTCTATCACACCTTTATACGAATGCTAAGATTGTATGTACTATGTACACTTATAAATCAAATTGTAACTCTCATGTATTGCTATGATATGGTCACTTTCTACTGTATTGACTAGTACTAGATGTCTATAAATGTTGAGCACTGATTGACAGTACCCATGCTTCGAGAAAATGTGTCAGGTTGTAAAGGTATACTCAACTAGCTTTAAGCCACTATAATGTAGAATCAAGCAGAGTAAGCATACCACAAAAAATGCAGTTAATATGCAATTGCAGAGAACTGACATTTGATTCAAGCACATCGGAAGCTTTCCATCGCAATTTATGGTCGAGCGCTAGTAATCCTCTGGCTACTGTTTGTGCTAAATTATGTTTAATACTCCAATATTTGTCTGATAAGGAGGCAGATGGCTTGCCTTGTAGGTCTACTTTCCATTGCTTTGTATCCCAGTACTTCTCGTTTTTGAGCTTATAGAATTCATTACTTTCTCTTTGTGAAGAATATTGCATCAGAGTTGTCTTTCATGCACAAAGCAATGCAACTTACAGTTTTGTCATACAAGGAAACGTTGCCCATCCGTGGAAGAGCACCCAGAGTATTATACTGTAATTAAATGGTTAACGTATCACAGTCTGCCCTCAATCCTTTTGTCTCACCCGACTGCAAATGTGTCCGTTCCATAGTAGATAATCTGTTGGCGTGGGACACTTAGACGCTCAGGAGGATTGTATTGAATTGTTCCTCCAGCACTTTCAACTATAAGCTTTGTACAATCTTTGGATATCCATTCAGCTCTAGACAATAGGAGTGGTTTTGTTACAGCTCAATTCATGTAAGAATAAAAAACCTACGTTCCAAAGTCTGCAATCCTAAGTTCTAATGTATTATGACTCATTAGTAAAACATTTTGTAGTCTAACTAGATTAGAGAATACTGAATCAACACAATAGAGAAATGTACAGACTTGATATCACAGTGAATACAGTTCTGATCATGTAGGAATTGTAACCCTTCACAGAGTTGCCTTTGAGAAGAACTTTAGAACACACAAATGAATTTTGATACATAATTTACTTGCCTGATAATAGACTTTATCTGATGTGTATACAGCGCTTTTGAGGTTCTAATTAAGATATCAAGAGTGCCTCCTTCAGCATATTCTGTTACAATGCATCTATGTGTATGACTATTACATATATAATCAAAGAAAACAAGAGTAGTAAACCCTATCTTGTAAATCGGATCTGATCTTAATACATATGGATTAATAAAGATGTTGCAATAAATTGCTTACAATGTTTTTATGCTGGCCAATTTTTCGCATTGTATCCCATTCATTTAACTGCCTTAATCTTGTTTTATCTGTTCCATCTCCTTTGAGTATCTTCACTGCCACTACTGTGGACGACTTTTCTCTCCAACATTTCTTTCAATTTAAGGAACAGATGGAATTATAATCGAAAGATCAGTTAAGGCTAGTTTATATGGATTGTTTATTAGACTCACAAGTACTGTACCAAAATTCCCATTGCCTATCTTTTCCAACGATGTATATCCTTCTACTGTGCTTCCGATTCTCAGAAGGTCGGGCTCATAACGTGGTTGTAGTGGTAGAGTTGAAGATCTTGTTGGAGTGAGACTATGTCTGGAGATAGGAAGGGTGCTCCTACGTTCAATTGTACTCCGAGCAGGCGCTAATACTCTCCTTTCGGTAGTAACCTTTTCTATCTTCTTTCTGTTCCCATGGCGAGACATCTTTGAGCAGGTCTGTTTGGTTTATAAATAATTTGCGAAATTGGAATCTTCTGTACTGTGATATCTAAGAAACAGTAGAATGAGTGTGGAACAAATTACAACGGTAGTGTCATAGTACAAGTTGTGTGTCATAGTACAAGTTGTGCTTTTATATATCATAGTTTTGTCCATTTTGCTCATATGTTATACATATGCTGCTATGTAATATGCAAATGTGTACCAATGTGAATCTCTGATTGGCTAATATAATGTGCTTTGCTTTGTCTTCCACAGATGATGTCACATTTGCAACAAAATTTCTACTACAAGAGTTATTGAGCAAAGTGTTACAGCTCATTAAGTCAAGCCAGCAACATTACATTGCACTACATCAGAAATATTAATATTGTGTACAATGAGACAAGGAAGCTATTTAGGTATCTGAGAGATATTGTACTACAGTAACCAACATAAATTCGGATTGAAAGTCAATAATTTCATTATTTGTGCCTTCATTGGCATTTACTAGCTATGCATCTGCATACGTACTGAAGGTGACTTTATTTGGTGAACCTCATGAGGGAGCAAATAAGAATTGTGCGTGATACATGACGAAACAAGGCCATTCAGCCATCTTTGTCTTCCGGCTTCCTCCTAAGATGTCCGATTTATTGCTCAGCACTTTAATACTGACTGCACCATATGTCAGACTACTTAGTTAGAGCTCAGAAGGAATTCCACCAGGTGCTAGTCGGTTCGAATTACATGCTAAGGACAATCGGGTTGTTAAACTTAGGCACAGGTGCTGGTGCTCCTAAGCTGCACATCCAGTCTAGCATTGCACGAGGTTCAGCCGGGATTGACTACAACACAACGTCCGAGGTGAGTGAACTTGATGGAACATTGAAGCGCTAAAAGGGATGTACGATCAAAGTAGCTCCAAAAGATGAGACGGAAAGAGAAAAGCGTGCTCTCAACGTTTCTGTAGGGAGTTTTTTATACATTGCGAAATTGACCAATGAAGTTCGCCAATATCAGTTTGGCAGAGTGAGAGGAAGAGAATCATGCCGCAGTGTTATAGACTTTTCGAAAGAAATGAAGCAAACATTGGTATTGGTCATGGATTACGTACTCAGTGGTGTCGACGATATTAATTGGCCTGATCTTAAACACGATGATGAGGCATGAGTATGGTATTAGTGCACTTTTTTCTCTAGCTGTGACGGTCAGTGGAGGAAAATGGGTAGTACTTGCTTGTCAGAGACAGAATGGCAATGCCATATTTTTGATGTACAACGTGAGAAACGCTATTCTCGATTTCATTGTCTGCAGTTCTGAGTCACGTGGAGCGCGTCATGCAGCTCAACGCCAACACTCCTTCAGCATTTTGACTCAAGACGACGACCATCTCCTGACCAGAGGCAAGTCTGTTCATTCTACTTTACCTTTAGCTGTGATGCTTTAGTAAAAGGTTTGACTCTGGTGTATCTGTGCATCCGTCAACCTGACGGGCGCCCTTCATTTCGTCCGTCACTCTCAATGTTTCCTAGAGGCAATCGGAGCATAGCGTAAGGCCAGACGAACAATGACCAGGACTTTACATTTCTTTTTGGCTGCTCTGTCTTCAAGAATGAAAGCAGAGTAGTAAAGGCTCAGTCCAACAATGTTCCCATGCCCGCCGGATCCTACGCTAGTGTGGCTTGGGACTCGATGTTAGCCATGCGTTGGTAGACAGGGTTACACCGTGTTTTAAAGTGAAACGAGTCGGACCCGTTTCCACTTTGCCAGAGGTGTTCGCTTGCGGTGGCCGGACTTAATCCACACTGCATATAATCGAAAAACAAAATCATGCACGATTTTCCAGCGTGTGCACTCAAAATTCATGTGCATGCGTGTGACATTGTGCATACAGAGGGATTGAACGGACGGATGACGGATGCAAAGATACCCAGAGAGAAGAGAACAACGAATAACTGGCGTTTATGCCGCCTGAGCCAACTGCTTCTTATTCTCGACAAGTGTCTAGTGTCAGTACTGACATGTACTTTCTCCGCAGATGATATCGTCCGCTGGGTCGGTGCTGCTGCGTCTTGGTGCTTGGAATTACCTCCCGGACTTTGTAACGAGGAAGCTTCTCACATATTACCACCAATTTCTTGTTTCTCATGGACGCATCCCACCTCAACACGGTTCCCGACGCTGGCAAACGCACTACCGAATTGCATATTCAATCTCCGTGCTCGCATACCTTTCATACAATTTATTTGAAGCGGCACGCAGCACACCTCCCAACTTCTACCAGGTACTTGGGATATCACCCGATGCAGATGAAGCATCTCTGCGCAGTGCATACCGAGCTTTCGCGAAACGATACCATCCCGATCGGGCGGGTCATGCAAGCGAACCTATGTTCATGGCTGTGCAGAACGCGTACGAATCGTTGAAGAATCCATTGAAGCGCTTTGCATATGAGAGGTCTGTGGCATAGTCTTTTTTTCGAGGATCTATTGAAAACTGAATGGTCGCAGGTAGATTTGGACCCGATGCACTAAGTTGGCGTCATTGCTCTGCGCCGATGGACTGCCTTAAGCATGGTATCATGCAGTCGTCGGGTTTTTATATTGTTTCTGTCGCTGTGCTGGTTGTTATGTCGATAGTGATGAAGCCAAGCCGTGTTGCCTTCGTAAGTACTATTCACCTCGGTCTTTCAAGAAAATAAATCCACGTTGACCTTACGGTGTTTAGTGGCGCTACATTCTGCTTCTCTCCCTGTTCGCCAGTGAACTTTATCTAGTAGCCGGCCCACGCTCCTTCGGAATCCTGGGCATCCTATTCCCAGACCGCGTCGCCTTTCAACATGTACTTTTTCTGCACCAGTTATTCGTATTCTTGAGCATCGCACTCTCGCATGTCGTACCTGTGCTCTTCCCAGAGAGACAAATGATTCGGCCAGAGGACCCAGCGACGTATGTGCCATGGATACAGAGACTCGCTGCTCTGGAGAGCATGTCGGATGCTGAAGGTATGAGCGTTAGGCTACGACTAAGAATTCGTTGAAATAACAGAAACCAACAAATCGTTTGTTTTGTGGTCCTGTAGTTCTTCGGATGCTCAATCTAGAGTTACACGCAATGTCCAACTCATCAACTTCTCAAGATACCTCAAGTCCTGCTGACGTAATGTTCGACTCTGTACCGCCATGTGAACCCCCACCCGAGGTACTTAATGAACTCTCGAAAGAGATGGAAGATATACTTGTGGAGCAGTTCGTACACTCCGAACCGCCACTTCGAGCACTGTGGGACGAAGCTGTGAGAAAGTCCCGAGAAAGCCGAGCCGAACGCCAATCTCAGGAGGGGGATAGTGGTTCTCCTAGAGAAATCGAGGTCAATGCACTTCCGAATTCAGACGTAGAAGGAACGACTGGAATCGACTCCACGCTTACACAGCTACATCATGCAGAGGATGGTTGTACGGCAAGAGAAAACCCGTGCCTGCCCTCTCCTTCTCCATCTGTCTCACCTGAGATACGTCCGATAAAACTGCATCCACTGAAACAGGCGAATGGTGATGCGCGAAGTCGTATTGATCTATCCCAGGACCAGAAAGAGCAACAGGACGACGATGATGGTTCCGCTACGCCGACCGGCAGTGCCTTGTTATCTCCCAAGATTGCAGACATACAGCCTCGAGTCAATGGCACAGAGGATGATTCCCTTGTCCTTCGGACAACTAGCAGTAATAGTGGAGGAGGGAAGGCATTCATTAGAGTCGTAGAGCGACGTTCTGTCTCACCTGATTGAGACCATGCAGAAAACTACTTTGTGTATACGATAGAAGTGGTTATGTGTCAATATACCATATATATTATACTTGCTGAACACAGCGTTAATGGGGTAGTACACATTCGACGGTCTAATTCTACTCTACTCGTATATCTACGTAGCGATCGAGCTTTATTTTTTAGGAACGTCTAGCTCTATGGGAGTATTCCTTTCCTCGTGCGAATTCGGTATAAGTATGCTGCAATGACGAGCTGTTCCAGCCTTAAGATCACAAACAGATCATCAGCATTACAGCACCCCAACTAAAAGAGAGAAAAGGTAAAAAAGAAGTACTCCTCACCTCTGCTTAACCATCATAGCCAACCCCTGGCTCAAGAACCCCTTCAGGAGTTGGACTTCGAGGCCCTGATACAGACCGGCAAAACCGGCATCGTTGTGTATATATGCTGTGCGCCAGACGTCGAGCATTGAGTGTGGTATTGGCCTCTTTGTTCTCCTTGGGTTGTTGGTCTTCTCCAATATCTCAGTCGATGAAGATGACAGAGAGGGAGAGGGAGAGGCTTTTCGGCGTGCGGCCTGGAGACGCGTTTTGGCAAGTATGAGTGGGTAGAGAATCGTCACAGCTGGATTTAAAGTTCAAAGTTCAAAACGGAGAAGAAAAATTGAAAAGGTAGGCTTGTAAGAGGATAGAAGAAATGAATGCAGATAGAAGGATGTACCTATGACGTTTGACATCGCTGCACCTAGGAAAGCCTGACGAGGAGTTGGCTGTTCGCGGTTCTTTCCTCTGAGAAAGAGTTGACGGAAGGCTTGGAAGAGGAAGAGTGTGAGGGAGGGGTTGAGGCAGAGGAGTGTGGTTGTTTCGAAGCCTATTTAATTAATGCAAGTTACTAGTTAGTCAGGTTTTGTTATAGAAGGGTTACATGATAGGACGCGCGTTGGCAAATTGGGTGCCGTACTGACCTCGCCAGAACCCGAGGATGCCACTTTCGTTATATATATGCTTAATGACACTCGCTACCGAGCTGAAAAGCTTTGCGTCATCGTACTCATTATGCTCGTGAGCATTGGAGGCATGGTTTTCTTTTTCTTCCTCAGTGTGGAGGTTGTGCGCATTTTGTAATTGGACAGTGACGAGGCTAAGTGGAGTGGAGACCGCTCGACTCGCGACACCCGCTAAAAATCCAACAGCGATTTCTTCGAGTGCAGCAACTGTAGTCGAGACTTTTACGCCGCTTCGCTTGAAGATACGGTTTCGGAGGAAAGAGTATGAGTAGAAATAGAAGAAACTGTGGAAAAAAAATATCAATCAATTTGTTTGTCAAATAAACAAATATATTAATAAACGCCACACCTTGAGACAAGCGTGGCAGCTGTGTCGGTCTCGAGACCGTCGTACAGCTCGCCTACTCCGCGTTTACGTAGGATGCGCTTAAGCGTGTCGATTGCGGTTGAAAGGCCTACGAATAGGCGAGTCAGCGATGCGTACGTGAGTTCATGTGATAAATTTATTTGGAAATACCTTGCCGTTTCGGCGAGTCGGCGGTCTGAAGACGTGTACAGACGAGGTCGAGTGGGTAAGACGATGCATTTGCAGCTGCGCTTCCGATGGCTCCTGAGCAGGCCTGGACGAGCGGCGGGAGGGTGCTTGTCATTGCTCAATGGTTAGTTGGATTGGAAGATGTATGCAGAGGAGCTGGAAAGAGCACAACGTCATCGCCAAAAGCGGTGAGCCACGTGTTCCTAGAGCTTCCATATATGGTATGATCGGCGATCTGATTGCTCTCTCTCAGGGTCCAGTCAGTCGTTCGTTTCGAGTCGGCCAAAGAACAAGGCCTGCTGCTTCCGACCAGCGCCTCTCTCCTTTTCTCTCTCACAACACTACAAGTCTCCGGCTGGTTGTCCTGCTTGACTCTTATCCACCACCACCGTCTGAGTTTCTTTCTCAGTGCCGCTATCGCGAACACGAGTTTCTGTCCGCAACACCTGCAACTATCATCAACATCCGCCGAAGCCATCACGCAGCACTGCTCCGTGGCCTGTCCATCTTAGTGTTCTCTCGCGCAAAGACTGAAGGCCCCCCAGACGACCATCCCATCATCTGCCTACCATGTCAGACGCTTACCTCGCGCAGGCCGCATCCTCTCCTTCATCACAGCAACCTCAAACACAACAACAACCCCTCCGGCTCTCCATAGCTCAGCGAGATCGGGTCTTACCTGCATCCCCGGTCACTTCGGGCGAGTCTTCCTCAGGCATCACCCGTCTAAGTATTAGTAGATACGGCTCCATCTCCACCCTCGCAACTTCCAACGCAGTCGGCGAGGGATCCGACGTGTGGTATGAAGACGATAAGATGCAGAATACTGGAAGCAGTGCCGAAGGGGACGTCGGTGCAGAGTATGACTCTGTTGGAGGTGAAGCACGTCTCCCTGCTAGCCAGCGTCCTAAGGGAAGATATAGCCTCAACGACTTTTCTTTGATGCGTACTGTGGGCACCGGAAGTTTTGGTCGTGTTCACCTTGGTAAGTCCTTCCTTCTATTTTTTTCTCTCGTTATTTTACTGAATTATTTTTCTTTATTTTATTTTATATTCTTTTTTTAATATTGAACTTTGATTTTCTAACTTGGACGAACGGCAGTACGGAGTAAACATAACTTACGATTTTACGCGATAAAGGTTTTGAATAAGGACAAGGTCGTGAGAACGAAACAGGTTCAACATACGAATAACGAACGCGAACTGCTTGATCTATGTGTACACCCCTTTATTGTCAATTTATGGGGTACTTTTCAAGATTCACGGAATTTATACATGGTTATGGATTTCGTACCGGGTGGAGAGCTGTTTACGCTCTTGAGACGATCAAACGTAAGTCCTTTCATTTCCACCGCTCACAATTCATACCGAAGCATCTCCTAATTCTATAAAAAATGGATGGCGGATCTGACTTAACGTATCATACCACACAGCGCTTCCCAGACCCTGTCGCAAAATTCTACGCCGCCGAAGTCGCGTTAGCACTCAACCACCTCCACACGATGCACATCATCTACCGAGACCTCAAACCCGAAAACGTTCTCCTCAATCACGACGGGCATATCAAAATCGCTGACTTCGGCTTCGCCAAGTTCTGCCCCAATATGACTTGGACGTTATGCGGTACACCAGATTACCTTGCTCCCGAAATTGTCGGGCAGCAACGGTATAATAAAAGTGTGGATTGGTATGCACTGGGAGTTTTGATTTTCGAGATGCTTAGTGGACTACCGCCGTATCACCAACCTGTACCAAACCCTGTGTTGTTATATGAACGTATCGCAGCGGGTCCCGCACACATTCACTGGCCCGCGTTCAGTTCCGATGCAAAAGACCTCATATGCAAACTAATGGAACCCGATCCTTCACGGCGATACGGAAATTTACAACACGGTGCGGGTGACGTATTCGCACATGCATGGTTCCGAGAAGTAGATTGGGCGAAGTTGAGAGCGAGGGAGATCGGTGCGCCGTATATACCGAGGATTGATGGGGATGGGGATGCTAGTGCTTTTGAACATTATCCAGAGGGAGATGAAGTGAGGACGTATGGACGGGAGGGAGAGGATCCGTGGGGGAAGTTGTTCCCTGAGTTTGATTATATGCCACTTGTCCCATGAGACAGATCCTTTTATAGCCTTTTTTCTTGAGATGGGTGGATGGCGCGACGCTTTATGACAATTGTTCCTTCTTGCCTCACTAACGAAAATGTCTCGTTCGTAACTTCGCACTCAAAAAAGCTTAGACCACTCTCCGTCCCCTGCAAAGCTCCATCTTCACCTCTCCATGCCCCCACGACCCATCACGTTTCTTACTCACTTATTCCTTCGTATTCTTTATGCTTTGTCACCATTAGCTATCTTTCGCCTTCACGGAAAATATTGTTCTGTTCTTTTTCCCGTTTTTTGTACCTGCTCTATTTTTTGGTGGTCTTCGTTGTTACTGCTATCTTACTATTTTGCTGTGTAGAGCACACAACAATGCATATATATGTACGTTTACTTTGTATGTACATATACAGTCATTACTGCCTTTTTCATAAGTATTGTCACACTTGATGATTCATCATTTTTTGTCACAAAAGTAAACAAACAAAAAAATAGC